ATCAGTAAAGTAAATTTTTGCTGCATTTAACAGTCTTAAAGTAAATTTATCATCCAAAAATCAAAATTGTCATAACTGGAAATTCATGCAAATTATACATCCTTCATTCAATGTAGTTTGTGTTATATCATCATATTTATTCTATATCATCCAGGATTGATTACTAATTAATATGAGTTCAGTCAAGATTGTGCTCTTATGTAATTTTTTTGTTTACAACAATACAATTTGTATACATTCTATCTTACATGTATGTAGGAGTGGTAGTAGATTTATATTCACTATATTGGATATGAACATACCCATGTAAAATAATAACTGTTCCACCGTTTGTATAAATAAGACATCATAAACGATGATAAAATCGGATAAGTAATTTGGCAGTAAATTTCATCAAAAGTCTTTTTGTGCATTGAATTAATAATAATAATCACAAATTATTTACTCGATAAACTTTTCTTTCCTTGATTTGCAAAATGTTTTTTTAATCTGTTACATGAAATCCATTTGTAACAACAAAAAATACCTCAAACCTTTCTGATTCGTTAGGGAGTGATCTCAACTCTGAAAGCTTGAATATATTCTAAAAAGTAACATTTTTAAATAGATTGAAATCATGATAGTTTGACATATAGTCTAGTATCTTGCTTATTACAATTGTTCGAATTTACTCAAAGGATTTTAATTAATTTTTATTTAAACGATAGATATCATATTCGTTTCATTATATTTCACTCTTCACAGTTAATGGATCGTTTCTTTTTTTAACATATATGTAACCGGTAAAAATCAGGATGAAATTATTACCATCCCTTTGAATAGCTGTTCCTTCCATCCATAAATTCAGTTGTAAAAATACAACTAACACAGTCGTATTATCCACTTGCATCTGTTCTAATCCTAATTCTCTCATGAAGTGTATTTTTCATGTTTATTTCCTATTGAGGTTGAATAACACTAGATCCACCTGCATTAACCCATACAATTAATTTCTTTATACATGTTAATCTATTCAGAAAAAAAATTTCAAGTTTATGAAAATGGTTAGTATTGAATACTGTCAATGCATTTTATTTACATTGACTAAAACATAATATTAAACCAAGTAATCAATTTTGAATTAAACTAATTTACTGACAAATTTATACTTCTGATTTAAACAACTGAAACCAAATATATTTCATTGAATTAATCCACTACAAAAAACATATCATTTATATATTATATAATTTTGTAAAATTGTATATACTACTTATTTATATTTAAATTTCAGTTTTGAAAACTTTTTACAACATGTAACATTAATCTCTACAAAAGTTGAAGAAAATATACTAGCCGTAAGTTCATTATTCCTTTGTATTTTCATTACATCATTCAATTATTTCCAATCATAATTATTGACTATAATTTTGTTTTTCTTTAACGAATATTTTAACATTAATTAGTTGTATAAAGGAATAAATATTTTCCATAAAAAGAATCATTTAACTTTCACTATTGATGAATGAAATTTGTTTAAATACAAAGTTATTTTGTATCATGATTAAATGATTACTACCTTAATCATACACATACATATAATGAAATGTTTACTATAATTTTAAGAACTCAAAGATGTCATTACAACTAGTTAGTTTAAACAATGATTATAAGAAAACTAAGAAAAGAATGTCGATTTAATTCTTTTTAATTTGAAACAGTAGTTTATTAATTAAAGCATCTAATTTTCGGCTATTATGTTACAAGTTCGAATCATATCGAACTGAATTTAGTTTATATAGTCACTTAGTAGTATTAATGACCATTTACATGAAGTGTGACTCAAATACGAACATCGTCATCAGATTTTATCTTTTCAGCCCCATATATTCATTAAGAACTTCAACTATATTGATAAAGAAATGCAAAATAATCATATGCATTCATAAAATTCATTTATTTGAATGAGTTATTTCATTATGTTTCTCGTATTTATGATGAGTTACCTAACTTTTGTCTAATTGTTCATATCAACGTCATAATAATAATCATTATTAATGATCTTATTTTACTTATTTTGTTTATGATGACAGCATCAAGAACTTGAACAAAGGTAATGATAGCTTTTTGATCGATATATATATATATATTATAGGGATTGTATTTTGATAAAGTTTCTTTCTTTTACCTGGATAGTTAAACTTGGCTAATCCACCTAGCTCAGAGAAAATGACTCCATCAAAATAACTCACCTGAGTTATAAATCTTCTTCATTGTACTTTTATTTCAGTATTGTGTATACTTTTACTACTATTATTATTTGCAATAACTAAATGAATACATTAGCTGAGTCGTTGTTTGAAAACCGTTAAAAATTTTAAATGATTGTGTAAATGTGTGTTTACCACTTGAAAATCAAAAGTAGGGATGAACAATATTATCCCATTTGTAAGGTTCTCAGTATACATATATAGTATATGATATTGAAAAATATAACTGTGTTTAAAGTAACAGTAGAAACGTTATAAATTGCTTTGAAGCATATCAATTATTTAATGGAAATGATAGATACTACAGTAAATGTAAATAACTATTAATAAGTCACAAGCGGCTTCACATTATTTGTAACTTCAGTCTAGCGATTGTAATTCATCTGAAAGTTTAATATTTTCACCAAACCATTATAATTAATATCAATTACAACCATTAATTTTAAGCTCTATAACTGCATTTTTCTTTAGTACAAAGTAGGCGATATTTATAACTAATAAATGTTATATTTTCACTTATTTAATTTCCACATTTGAAATTCATACGAACGATAAAAGTAACTTCTAATGTTATAGTTTCTGTTTATGCCTTTCATTTTCATGACATTCAATATGAAGTAGTTAAAAACTTAAGTGTACAGCTTCGAATTATTTCAGTTTAATACTAGTAGTATAGTTCCATATAAGGTATATTAACGCACTACTAAAAATTGCCTTCAGTAATGTCTTACATTAAACAGTACTTAACATTAGTACCTTATCCATTTTTTTTTCAAATTTGTCTCTTTCAACTTATTCAGTGTTATTAATGATTAAGCTGTTATGTTATTTTTTTTCAATAACAAAAAAGAGTATTCAGCAAAGAAAACTTTTCTTTTCGACAAAATCATTTACTTCAATTGTACATTCGTATATATAGTTATATATGGAAAATATATGTCTATAGGAGAATAGAAAAGTCTACATCATAAAATGGATTCGAGAATAAATAACAAAGAAACTTTTCTTCACTGAATTCTCTTTTACTTATTCAATCACATTATGGGTTATTATTTAATAACAGTTGATATTTTTTTCCCCAAATTATTTTCTTTGTCCAGCTGATTGTTTCAATAAAATATCACTTCTTTTCTTTTCTTTTTTTTTCATTTGATAGATGGATTTCACTTCAAAAAGAACTTTCAGATTTAAAATTAAATATTCAAGTAACAGTCAATAAGGATACATAGCGAAATTATATTAGTTTTATATATCTAGATTGTTTGAGAATGTTATACAGTTCTCTTATTATTGAGTAGTTCAGTTTAGTCTTTCAGTTGAATTGTCTTTTTTAATGAATTATTAATATTTGACAATTTATATTACTATCATTAATAATATTAACTTTGTTTGAAGTTTCAAGAAGAAAAAAACAAAAAGCTTATCATGTTTCTTTACAGATTGGATGTATTAACCGTTTTCTTTAGTTGAATTTAACTTTTGAATTGATATTTAATGTTTATTTGTTGTTTTTTTTTTTTGAAATAACAAATGGTTGAAACTTAGATTGTATTGATTCTTCTATCTAATAGTTATGTGATTATTTTGGTTTTGACTGAATAAATTGCTAGAGAGGTTTGTTTAATTGAAAGCTGACTCGTTACACTACAATAACTTCCTGTAATGGAAAGTTGACCAAAGTAATAAGTTGCTAATAGCAAATAATTAGGATTGCCTATTAATAAAAAATGTCAAGATTTCTCAGAAGAGTTGTAAATATGTTTCTATCAGCGCTAGTTCTGTTTGACATTTTCATTCGATCATTAGCATTCAAGCTGGGAGACACACCCACCTTCCAAAGGATAATTGGACTTTGATTTCATAAACCCATTCCATTATCTCTTTCTGATATATCGCTAGTAGGTTAAATCAATGGTTTTTGAAACACTGAGTCACTGGTCCAAACGTAAACTATTCTACTATGGTTCGGATAGCCAGGTACTATCACTAATCCTCACACAAATTTGTGACTTGATACATGGAACTATACTTGACACATATGTTACACTTAATTTAAAACTCTTTTCGTTGGTTTAGTTTATGTACTTATCCTCACAAGAATGCTCAATAACGAGAGCTACTTCAAGTGGTATTAAAGAAATTTATTGACACATTCAGAGATACTGAAACAGAAATAGGTTATTACCTTGAAGGACTCAGTGGTCTGAGATCTCCTTGTTTGTGATGTTTCAGTGAATTTTATGTTTTCGATATTCAGACGAATTACAAAGTGGTTGGTTTTTGAGAGTATCATAAATTTAAATATATTTTGCCACGGTAACATAAATTAGTGAATCAAGACCTCTGTAGAGACTCACTAATTTATGCTAACTAGCATTTTACATACTTCCGTTCATAATCGGGAAACAATGTTATTGTTAATCACTCCACATTTTTTATTCAAAAATAGTTTGGAAGCAGTAAAATTTCCTGCCTATTACCCCTCATAGTAGCACAAACCACCCATAACGACTCTACAATCTACTCTGTCCTGAGTTCTCCTTTCGAGTTATTTCCAACTACTGTTCATTCCTTTGATGCATGCTGCCGATTTCCAACGCACTATCTTCTTTGGTCTTCCACTCTTCGTTTCCACATTCCAAGTTGGCACTTGTCTCGTGATGCGATTTGATGATTTCCACTTCTTTAGAACAACATATATAAGCGAACAATATTGTTTTCATGACGTGTCTAATAGTTTTTGGATACATAATGGTCGGTAATAGACAATCATTTTTAAATAATACTCAAAGTCGATTTTGTTGTTCATTTATTGATTTGTGTTTATCCACACTACAATTATATACCACTTTGTCATCACCTGCATATTTTTTGGGTGTTTCAGTTGATCAAACAAAACTGTCAAGAGAGACTTGTTTCCATAATAAATTATTAAGTTTGATTTCAGAACAGGAAGTGAAAAATCTTGACTATAAACCCATGGCTTCAGAAACTTAGCAATGGACTTGTGTTTGATATTGGATATGCATGATGATCTAGGACTTATTACTGAAAGAGTTTGTTTCTGTGTATGCTTCAGAAGCTAGTAAACGTGGCGGTTTATCTATTTCGATTCCTGAACTCTGTGGTATCATTAATTCACTGAATAATTTGGTGACAGTATTGAAGATCGTGGCTGCATATTCTGCTCTACCGTATGATGAATCTCTCGGTAGTCTTGTCAGTGATTATTATTATCTTCTTCCTAGTTTACAGCATAGTGATCATGATGCAGTTCTTTACCTAGTTCGTGTAACTAGTTGAAGAGAATCAATTCCGGCCGTGGAATAATGTCGTGAACGTTGTCGCTAACATCATGGTGTTACAAATGTGTGGCCACCCTTTTGTAAACCGAAACAACTGTCACTAGAATTTTGTGGTCAACATCATGTACTACATAGTCGTCATTTACATTATACTTTTATACAACTCAGTTTATCTGTCTTGATCAACTATTAACAGATGGATAGCTTAGCTATGATTATTTATTTGACCAATCGAATTATATAATCTATGTCGTTTACCGGGGAATAATAGAAAAACTTGTATTAAGATATGAAAAATCAACGATCCAAGAGTAGCAAGTCAAATTTATCTACGTTGTCATCGAATAATTTTAATAGTCGTAAGACTTGTACTATGCTTTTAATTGAACAAGAACAAATAGAAGAAATAAAGAAAATACAACAACCATTACATCAAAAAGAAGATTCAGTCACAGAAAAATCTCAAAATGCTTTCATGGATGAAATATACGTATTCAAACTCCATTTTCGTATTTGACTTATTTGTTTCCGTTACTCACTAATGAGATCCAAGTCAATGAAATAAACGAAGATAGCCGATGACAATCAGCTTACAATCCAGCTGGAGTCAAGTACAAGGCCACTAAAAGTGATGAGCTCTACCACGAATTCAACTCAGTAAACTAGGACTATGAAGAACCTTCTGAACTTCATACTCTTGACAAACAAACTCAACGGAAGTTACTTTTTCAATAACCTCATCGATGATAGCATTTTACCTCTCAAAAAATCTCAGTGATTTGTTTGTCCTTTTCGTTTTTGACTGGGCGGTCCTATTTAACCAATTTTCCAGATAGGTTCTTCGTTGAATCATATGGTTGTAACAAGTCTCATGTATCGAGTTTCACAATGTTTCCCCTCGAGTTTCCAATGCTTTCTTAGATTTAATTTGATCTCGGTCATCACTAGGTATGTTCTTAAGCTTTACCAGCTCCTTATTCTGTTTTCACATCTTCTATGGACCTTTTGAGCGCTTTTCACCTATAACCATTTTATAATATTTGAATTATTTGAATTGTAGTATGAACTGGGAATCCCAGAATTAACGCAATTGAATCAAGAACTACGACACAAACACGAACGAATGCATTGTATTTGGGATTCGAAATCGAGCATTACACAAGTACAATAGAATCATTAGTTAATTCAAACACCACACCCACCACAGCTTAAATAGGAGTATAAGTTTTTGTAATCGGTTGTACGTCTTCTTGTTATGTTCATCCTGGGTCTGTTCGGCACTGTATGGATAAAAACTTTGTAGTATCTAGAATGTGCTCATTAGTATTGGAATTAACAAACGAAATCGGAACAGACTCACCTGGAATTGTATACAATCAGCATATCGATTTTGTAATGAAATCATTAATATCTAGAATTCGAACCATAGATTTTTCAATACTATCCTTCTCCACGAAATAATGTTGGATCTTTATATCCCAGGTTATGAATAATGTGGCTTCATTTTTTAGTGGCCCGGTGGATCTGACTCCTAGATCGTATGAATGTTTGTTATCGCCTATTCTCGTATATAATTGTCGACTTAATCGCGTTAGTCAATAACGGAATTAAATAAGTCGAATAACGAGAATTGATTTGTGAATACATATATTTTGTATATGAAGCGAATGAAACAGTGCAGAGCAAAATGACACGCAGGGAAGATGGCTGGGAAGCCAACTCCATTTTAGTCAAGCGTTACTCAATATTTATAGTCAGACAAAATAAAGCTACAGACATGTGATTAATGGGATAAGAAGGGCAAACACATATACGCTCATATAAAAACAGTCTAGATTGATAAGCGAATAAATAACAAGGTCGAAGTATGGCTCGAATAGAATGGGACGTCCGAAAGCTAGTATAAGGTATATGGGCTTAATATAATAACTGACACTACAACAGTCACCGTCGATGTGCCACCTGGGGTCCACCCTCTGCATCTCAAGCCTGGACTCACATTGATCACATCCCGATCAGCTATCGCTGGTGTGGTTGTGTACAAGACTGCCGCTCCTTTGTAGTACCTATCTGGACTCTGATCATGCCTTGGTCTGCGCCAGTCTTACCTTACTTCTCAATGGCCAACGAAGTGACCGCCACTAACGGATTGATGTTAGCAAGCTGGTTGCAACTTCTGTTGCTAGTAAGGTATAGATGAGCGTTGGTTGCAATTGCATGACGCCATGAAAATGGCAAATAAATTCAGTTGTGGGTTCGCGAAACGTCCCGCTTGTAAGCACGGTTTTTCTTCTGGTTTCTTACAATTCATCAAAGCCCGTCGGTCTACTCCGGGTGACCGTGGGTTTGACCATAAACGAAGGTTGTTACGTAATGAAATCGGACAAAGCTTCCGTAAGGACCGAGAAGCCTGGTGGTCGGAGAGTGCTAATGAACTAAAGCAGCAACCGCATCTGTCAACTACCAGAAGCTCTTCCAAATCATCCGAGCCACAGGCAGCAAGCAGTTTGGTGTGAGCGAAACAATCTACGAGGATGATGGGATGCCATTCACTAACATCCATCGACGTCTTGGACGATGGGCGGAATTCTTCGAAAGACAGTTCAACTGGCCTGCTGCTCCAGCAACGTCGGTCAGACTGTCCTGCCCTCCATGGCCGGTGACGACTGATCCACCAAATGAGGCGCAAGTCCGCAAGGAACTCCAACTCCTGAAGCGCTACGAATCGCCGGAACCAGATGACTTACCTCAGACTCTTTTTAAAGATGGTGGTGGCTTTCTGGTTAAAGAATTGACGACGTTGTTTATTAAGGTCTGAGAAATAGAGAGTGTTCTAACGTCATGGAATGAGCCGATAGTTGTCTCTATCTTTAAAGAGGGTTCACGTCGTTCCTGTAACAACTATCGGGAGATAAGTCTACTTCCGATTGCGTCCAAGCTATTGGCTTCCATCATACTTCGTAGGTTGTTTAAAACCCGAGAAAGATTGACTTGCGAGGAGCAGGCTGGGTTTCGTTCTGGTCGAGGATGTGTCGATCATATCTTTACCCTCCGCCAAATGTTGAATTGTAATATGAACTAGGAATCCCAGAATTAACGCAATTGAATCAAGAACTACGACACAAGCACGAACGAATGTATTGTATTTGGGATTCGAAATCGAGCATTACACAAGTACAATAGAATCATTGGTTAATTCAAACACCACACATTTTTCTGAAAGAACATAGATTTGCGAATCTCACGACTGGCATTGCTTTTGCTCAGTCCATGTCGTCTCATGACATCTGTATGCACTGTCGCCAATTTTCGCCCTGGCGTTGGGGCATATCAAAATAAAATAATAGAAAAGATCTTATACCAATAAGTCTAGAACTTCGACAAGACACTGTGAAGAACTCAAATTCCAACTATGCAGTACAAGATTTTATCTTTTTATTATGGTATGTTCAAGCAACATAAAATATTTAACTGTACAATAAATGTGGTTATTCACTACAGGCTTTCGTCAGAATGATCATGTTTTTTCCTGAACACTTCTCTGTGATTAATTTCAGGCCCTCATAAGACTGTTCTTTATCATTTTCATTGGTAGGTGAATAACAATGAATTACATTCTCAGTAATCAGTTTCTTCCTTGTTCGAGGGATGCTTCGATAATCCGTGTGTTTCTGATACATTCGTTATCTTTACAGTTGACAAACGGAGACAACTGAATAAAGAGAACCAGCATAGCTATATCCTTCTATATCAATCTAAATAAATGAATTAACTAGTATGTTTAGTAGTAATCAAAATTAAATTATAATTGGGTTGACGGAGATAACTGGGCTGGAATGATGATAGTATTAGATAAATACCATAGACAGAACTCTTCGTATTTGACTTGAATTCACATTGACACTGACACTTTGAACCTTTATGATCTGTTATATAATGGAGGTAAAACTGTCAATAAAAATTCAGCAGATATATTGTATTGAAACATATCCAAAGCTGCCCTAGGCTGTTTTATTTTTATGATACTGAAGTGAATAGAAACTGTCCTATGTCAGTTAGACAGCATGTCTCAAACGATAACACATCTTTAAGCAACAGAATACGATCAACAAATAGATAGATAAGCCATTTACTGACATAAATCCTTTAAGTAGATACTTTACAGTCTTATGTCATCTCTTTTACTTTAGTAACTCTAAATACGTTTACCTGGTGCAGGTTTTCGTTTCGACAAGTTTAATGAGTCGTTTAACCGATGAACATTGTGAATACTCTGGACAAACACTTCATGATAATTCCGCTTGTAGCTGTTCCAGGGTTACTACCGGTCTCAAGCCTAGGTTAAGGAGGAGGTTTGGGCATGGGGTTAGCGTCCCCATCCCGTAGAAAACTAACTCGATAAAAGACGCTTACCAGAAAAAATAATTCAACCCATTTAAACTATCCCCTGGGAGTTAGGTCTTCATTTAGAAGAATAATGACGTTTCATGGTCAAAGCCGAGTTCCTTCGTATGCCACGAAGCCGATGCCACTTCTAATAACCAAGTCAACAATTTTTATAGGTACATGGAACGTCCGAACAGTGTGGGAGACCGGGAAGACCAGTCAAATAGAAACGGAAATGAGGAGATACAACTTGGGAGTACTGGGAATCAGCGAGACCCACTGGACCCAAGCTGGACAACAAAGGCTAAATACGGAAGAGATGCTGCTATACTCCGGTCACGAAGAGGAAAATGCTCCACACACTCAGGTAGTCGCTCTAATGCTGTCCAAAGTAGCACGAAATGCACTTGTAGGATGGGAATCTTACGGATCCAGAATCATCAAAGCATCATTCAAAACAAAGAAGTAGGGGATCACAATGAATATTAGCCAATGTTATGCACCCACCAATGATAGCAACGACGACATTAAAGATCAGTTCTATGAGAGGCTGCAGTCAGTCATTGAGAAATGCCGAAGAAAGGACCTAACTATTCTGATGGGAGATCTAAATGCCAAAGTCGGAATAGACAACACTGAATATGAAGATATCATGGGACGACATGGACTGGGAGAAAGAAACGAAAATGGAGAAAGATTTGCAAATCTATGTGCATTCAACAAATTTGTCATAGGAGGCACAATATTTCCACATAATCGTATACACAAAGCTACATGGATCTCACCGAACCACACTACAGACAACCAGATAGATCATATTTGCATCAATAAAAAATTCCAAAGGACAATGGAAGAATCAGAAGAGGAGTTGATATAGCTTCAGATCACCACCTACTTGTGACCAATTTAAAACTGAAGCTAAAGAAGAACTGGACAACTGGACAAACAGCATTACAAAGGTTCAATACAGCCTTTTCTCGAGATACTGACAAACTCAATGAATTCAAGATAGCTCTCAACAAGAGGTTCCCAGCCTTACAGGATCTACCGAAGGAAGAAGAAACTACTATGGAGGACAACTGGAAAGATATCAAGGAAGCATTAACTTCAACGTGTCAAGAGGTTCTGGGCCACAAGTAGCATCATCATAAGGAATGGATCTCTATGGAAACACTGGACAGGATCAAAGAAAGGAAGAACAAGAAGGCAGCAATTAACAACAGTCGAACACGAACAGAGGAAGTCCGAGCACAAGCTGAATACATAGAAGCAAACAAACAAGTGAAGAAGAGCATTAGAGCCGACAAGAAGAAGTACGTGGAAGAACTAGCAACGACGGCAGAAAAAGCTGCTATAGAAGGAAATATGAAACAGCTCTCCAATAAAACAAAGAAACTAGCACGGAAATATGGTAAACCGGAGAGACCGGTCAAAGAAAAAGAAGGCAAGCCAATCACTGAAATTCAACAACAGCGGAACAGAGGCAGAGGCATTACAATACTGTCGGTAGCAGGGAAAGCCTTTAACAGAGTGTTGCTGAACCGGATGAAAGACGCAGCACACACCCAACTTCGAGATCAACAAGCTGGATTCTGTAAGGATCGGTCGTGAACAGGCCGAATTGCGACACCACGGATCATCGTCGAACAGTCACTTGAGTGAAAATTGTCATGGTACATCAACTTCATTGATTATGAAAAGGCATTTGACAGTGTAAATAGGAGGACGTAATGGGAACTTCTTCGACTCTACGGAGTTCCTGAGAAGATTGTCACTATTATCCGGAACTCATACGACGGACTACAGTGCAAGGTCGTGCATGGAGGACAGATGACAGATGCAGTCCAATAAGGACCGGTGTCAGACAAGGCTTTTTACTCTCTCCCTTCCTCTTTCTTCTGGTGATCGACTGGATTATGAAGACCTCAACACCTGAGGGAAAACACGGAATACAATGGACAGCTCAGAATCAACTAGACGATTCGGACTTCGTAGATGACCTAGCCCTCCTATCGTATACATATGAACAAATGCAGATAAAGACAGCCAGTGTAGCGGCAGTCTCTGCATCAGTAGGCCTCAGCATACACGAAGGGAAAACCAAGGTTCTCAAACACAACACGGAGAACAGCAATCCAATCACTCTTGATGGTGAAACTCTGGAAGATGTAGAATCCTTCACATGCCTGGGGAGTGTCATCGATATACAAGGAGGTTCAGATGCAGACGTGAAGGCAAGAATTGGCAAAGCAAGAGTCGCATTCCTACAATTGAAGAACATATGGAACTCAAAACAACTTTCAACCAATATCAAAGTGAGAATCTTCAATACGAATGTCAAGGCAGTTCTGCCGTGCGAAGCTGAAACTTGGAGAACTACAACAACCACCATCAAGACGGTACAAGTATTTATAAATGGTTGTCTATGCAAGATACTCAACATCGATTGGCCGGATACCATCAGGAATAGCCTTCTGTGGGAGAGAACAAACCAGCTTCCAGCTGAAGAGGAAATTAGGAAAAGACGATGGAAGTGGATAGGACATACATCACGCAAATCATGAAACTGCATGACGAGGCAAGCCCTAACTTGGAATCCTGAAGGGAAGCGAAAAAGAGGAAGGTCAAAGAACACATTACGTCGGGAGATAGAAGCAGATATTAAAAAGATTAATAACAACTGGACGGAACTGGAAAGGATTGCCCAGGACTGGTGTGAATGGAGAATGCAGGTGGGCGGCCTATGCTCCTTCACGAGGAGTAACAGGCGCAAGTAATTAAGTAAGTTATAAATAAAAAATTTCTATTACTAATCATTTATATAACTACTCGGTTGTTTGTGTTGTGTTGGGATTGTTATAGCATATATTGCCTTTGTTCATGATATGTACCTTACTACAATCTGGAAAGCATATGAGGACAGTGCTCTCCCAGATCCTTGTCTAATTTGTTTGTAAGTTCACTTCCAATTTTATTTGGTTCACTTCGGTAATAATCAGTTGTACAGGCCTATGCTCCTTCACGAGGGGTAACAAGCGTAAGTAAAACTTTATACTAAGAGTTAAGTTGTGTGTTATTTCATTTTGGAATTCAGTTTCATTTTTAGTAAGGAATTCAGGAATGATAACTGGTTGTGAGATTCCAGTCCCAAAACCATAATAACTAGACGATCATCAACGTAATGAAATATTAGGGTAACTGGTTGCCGAAACAACCGTTATATTATGATTCAACTTATGCGGAATTGAAAAAGATTTGGCTGTATGCTGGTACGGCTCAACAAAGTATAACGAAGCCTTCAGAAGCTTCAAAGGAGCTGAACAGATTATGTCGAATCAGAACCTGATGCAACATTCAAAAATATCAGCGTGCTATGCCATGGTTGGACAATTTCATATATCTCCTAATTGCTTATCGGCTAGATTTAAATATTGTTGCCAATACTAATTGTTCTGTCCGTTACTGAAGCACCGTTGAGTGATACACTTGTAACGTATGACATCAAATAACAAATGAAATCGCTCGGCTAGGCAGTGACCTTTTATTTTCACTTGTTCTTTGACATACATCGTCTCTAAAACACTGACTTGTAAATGTTATGTCAGTCTCTCTGCCTACCTCGAGAACAACAACCTCTCGTACTTTCACACTCAGAACATCACTCTTCAGGTATACTGACATCTGTATTTTCGTTTTCCGAAGTACATTTCGGTACTGACACATTATCTGAGAGCATTTTTACATTACTACTAGTTTCCTTAGCTGTTAGGAACCTTTTATTTCTATGGAAAGTTATCCAATACTAGGTAACGTGTGTTCTGCTCGGGTGTGTTAATTAATATTGAAGATCAGAAGGTGATCTGTAATAAATATCATATCAATACTTGTTTAGTTTTCAAGCTAACTTAAGTTTAGTGACATACGGTCCAAGTTCACCAAAGCTCTTCATCCATTCTGGAGTGGGAAGCTCTCTTATGCCGCGAAGTGATAAAAATATTTTTAGCGTTCAAATATCTTGCTAATCAGTTCAGAGTACGGTTTTACTGGTGCACCATGTTGCTTGATCCAATCCTTGTATGAACAAAGAATCGACAGAAAGCAGTCTTCCGTAATGTTTGAACCATATACTCATCAAGCAGTCGATGTCCTGGACAGTATTTACTATCCAAAGTTTTTTCTACTAGCTTAGAACTCTGCTTTATTTTCAGAACCAGATATAACGAAAGAGATTTAAGTGGATGCTCACTGAACCTCCAACTGTTGGAGCACAGGCATCTAAGATGTGATTTCCCAATGACATAAACCATCCTAAACACTTCTGTGCATCTCCTTAAATACTTCTTAAGTTTAGTCGCAACACCCAGAAACTAGGGAAATAACACAGAAGAATGGATTGTAGGTACACCTTCCACTCCTGAGAATTAGTCAAATACCGTAATCACCTGATGGCTGAGATGGTACGAGTAACTTCCCGGGGCTCTTTTGAGAGAAAACTGGATATTTTCTCTGGATAGTATCTCGATAGAATTTACTAATTTTATTTTCTCTTCTATCTTTAAATGTGAATAGAGTTTTACCTGAAGGCATCGGTGGTTGATTGCCACGAAATACGGAACCCCGCTATGCCAAAGCTCCTTCAATTTCGCACAGATACCTTTGAAACCCTACGATGTGAATTTTTCTTACAAAGAAATCGTGTACAACATATACCTAGTGCAATTTGTTGCTTCAAAGGTTTAAGAGGTTATGCGACCGTCTTTTTCAAAATTCAGCACTTTTCGATCTGGTTTTGTTTCAACCCGTCACATAGCAAATCAAGGCCATCTTCAGACGACTTCATAGGGTCCAGGTGTTTGACAAATGGTAGCTCGCTGTAGTTGGCTGCATTTTTGAATATCATTCAGTCGAACGTCTTTGGAGATGGTCCTAGGTGGCGATCTCGAGGAAGCTCTTTCGGTATTTGGAGAATTACGAAAGGGCCCCAAAGCCGAATACTATTTTAAATGGTCTGTTCTCAGCTTCGGTTGCTGTTTAGCAATCCATCACGTCATCAGCCCTTGGATATTCACACGATATAATAAGTTGTATCGAAATCTTCCTCGGCCCCATAAGATGGAATGGGATTCACGGTAAGTCGTCGTAACTAGTATACCTAAGACCCACCAACCTAGTCATATGTCACAGAAATCCATTCGTTGGTACTAATGTAATTACACAATTACATACGGCTATTGTGTTTGTGTGCTTGGTTTTATTTTTCACTTCGAACCTTAGAAATATGTACCTTGTATGTTACCGAGTCTCGAGTTATTTAGAATCAGCCAGATTAGGTTTTAGAAGTGTTATGAAACTCATAATTCTTCAGGATAACCCAAATCACGCAATACTATTGCAGGTTATAAACCCATTCCCATCCCTCTTGGTGAGTACAAAGTAAGTTCCATGGTGAAATCACTTTATTTTAAGACTAAGCAACTAATCTAAACTTGTTGTTTTTGTAAAACATAAATCTCCCCGTTATTCCTAGAAAAATATGCGCAACGGTTAGTTGGTTACCAGTCATCTTTCTAGAGTATATTGAAGTGGTTCTTTCATTTCAAAGCTTCGGTAACAATATAAAGAGGCTTGTCACGGCCGCCTATATATCTTTGTCATCAGTATCCTAGAAAAAGCATTTACTTAACCTAATTCTTCAGGTGTCAGTCTCCTTAACGAGCAGTAATCGATAGTACAGGATTAGGTTGGATAAAATGTTAAGTACTCTCAAATCCAAATGCAACATCAATCGACGAAGCTATTGACTATTGGTCTGAGGCAAGTAGGTAGGCGCAGACTACTTTGTCAGGGCTTGTGGAAACTCATCAATAATTAGAGACGTTCTATGACATGACTCAAAACTGCGTTTTTTAATCTTATCCATCTTGGATTCCATTATCTCCTTATACATACCTTCCAAATATCTTTTCAAATTATATTTTTTGGGTTCAACCACTTCTTTTTATTATATCTATTATTTCTATTTCAGTACAGTACTGAGCGTTAGTTTGTTCTGCCCACTTTTCTTTAGTTCACCAGTTCATTTTGGGAAGTTTTAAGTATGTGTGTAATCAGATTGTGCACCGTTTTTAACTATCACTTGTTGAAATTGTTGTGATATGTACTGGTCTGCTTTTCAAACTCGGAATACACTATAGATTTCGTACTTTATACATTTTGACGTTTTCTGATGTGAGATAATCAAAACCCAGTTCTAAAAAACACCGATTTATTATATTTCAAGTATAAATAATTTTAAACTATTTTTCTTCTTGGTTTCAGTGTAGTATCGTCAATACACGCGACTATTGTTAGCATTCTGTGTGTTACAGCGCTAGTTACCAATGCTGATCTGTGGTATAATCCAGCTATGTAAGTAATCTGTGTCGTTTACAGTTTCGATTTTTCTTTTGTTTGGATTTGATAATTATTATTTACTAACGTTTAAAATTTTCTTAGAAAAGTTTACCGTATGGAAATAACTTGCACTTTTGCCTGTACTACAGTCTACTATTCTAAAATACAAATCTGTTTAGCTCTTTCGTGTGAATATTTCGATTGACAAATAAATGTCACTTAATACACTTAAGTACATTGAATGCCACTTAGAGTTTCATGCATTATATTGATGCCATGATTTCTGTTCTTGTTCATATCTAACAAGTCATCTTTTTCGCATCACTTCGCGTCACTGGACTTGAAGATATGACTGCATTTAAAACTAGTTGCAAGACAAGAAGCGCCTGTTTGCGGGAAATCTGCGTAAGAAACCTCAGTGTGTAAAAATTTAGCTAGCTTGTTACCATTAACTTGCTTGTTCACCGTTTTGCAGTAATACGATCGTTAAGGTTTTCTGAGTTTGTCCCTTACTGTTTGACGAATGCTTATGTGCAAGATTGATTTTCCAAAGTCAATCAGCCGCGGCACCATGTTTTAAATCAAGTAACGTTTGGTGATTCTGACTTGATTAAAGTTCTATTCTACATACTGTGAACACAAGTATCTCGAAAACCTTCCTTGCTTTCACCGCAGCCTCCTGGTTTAATGCTAGCGAAGGCAGATATACATAAACATACATCCTGTTACGAATGTGTGTTGGTTTAAGTTGCCATATCTGATTGGGACAACGTAAAAATAACAACAGAAATAGAAATGATGTACTAGATATAGTAAAAATGGTGTTTAAACCTTAGAAATATGGTTTGAAAAGATAATTGGAAGATATATATGAAGGGATAATAGAATCCAAGATCGATATGATTGAAAAATGGACAATTTGAGCCATGTCATGTCACTCTCAACATTCTCATCTGTAATCAAAAAACCTTCAGCATACGAACATCTACTTTCATAGAAATTGTTTCACAGCCATAAGGTAGAATACAGCGGACTGTTGCGCTATTTGTTTGGGAGACGGACGTCTCATCAACGCCACATGTGATACTAGGTTACCATGTACTAACTGGACTTTTGGAATCCATGTCATCAAAACTTCTAAAGTCAGAGTGAACAGTAATCATCTTCAGATTGACTTAATTGGTAAATCACATAAATTTGGTGACAATTGGTATCTCTAATGAATAAAATCATATATTATTAGTCTAAATGTTTACTTTCTAGATTGGTTGTTTGAAACTTGTACAACTTGCCATCAGTATAACATAAAATTTCACCCAACTTATTTGTTAGGCTAGATTGGTTAATAAATAGTCTCATCCCTGTATCTAAATGTGATTGTTGTTTCATTTTTCTGACATAGCTATTGTTAAGACATAACTACTTATTATTACTCCTCAATTATCAAACACATTGTTAATTTATTAACGATTTTTCCCCAGTTCGTTTATTAAATGTTTTCTTTAGACAATATACCTTATGTGATCTAATCACTTAGTTACTTTATTGCTATATATTTTACTATCGGCCGTACAATATCTACTTTGGTTTATAGCTCAACAATTTCATCTTGCCTTTCTAGTGTGTAGAAAATTTTACCAATGCTTGTATGTATTAGGTTCTAAGTGACTAAATTAGCGGTCATGATGATAGTTATGACGAGGAGTTGGTTAGGAAGAAGCCAGAATTTACCCAAGTTACTCTTTTTAGTTTCGTATATATGATAAAACTGAGTGAAATAAAACAGTAGGAAAATGGAGTGGATAAATATATTATTCACTTGTTCTTATCATAATAATACTTTTTACATGTATTTCCTTTCTCATGTTCTCTTCAAAAGAAGTGTAGCTCATTCTGGTCTTATGGCACTATCGATTTCCATTGGTTACTTTTTATGTGGTAAGTTTGAAGTTTTATTTGAAGAATATCTTATAAGTAAATTTAATTTATGCTCTGCTGGAAAATGAGGCATATAAGTTTAACGGAGTGGGTGATAACCTTATCTCCATACCATATAGTAGGCTTAAATACTCATTATTGACGACCGATTTGAAGTTCAATTTGTTGGATTAAACTGTCATTATGTGACAAAATTGGGTGTTTCACATATGCATAAAATATCGAACACCCATACCTCTATACCACATCTGTTTTCATAACAAACGTTTTTCTAAAGACTGTCGGTATTCGTTTTGAGCATGCTATTAAGCCGATATTCTAAATCCTATTAATAGTTTTCCGCAACGTTAAAATTACTGCAATAATGAGGATAATCCTCTAAATTCTACGCAAACTAATCAGGTCGCAGAGATAGTAACAGTATCAGAGATAACAGGAAAAATTAGGCACAGAAGATGACTCGAAGAGAAAATATAATTTAACGAAATAATAACAAATGGTTTCTGAGAAATTTATAATTTCAATGAGGACAAAGAATTTATGCAAACGATTTCGAGCCATATCATTCAAGGTCTCCAACCATTGGTTACAATATTATGTGGACCCGAACCAGGTAGTCTACACCTATTAAGATGGCTTGGTCCGATTGTCAATGACTTCATAGACTGATGCCATGTTTTGTTTTGGCCGCCCCTGGCTTTCTTCCAGCTTACTCCTGCACCAGAAAACATCGTTCGCCCAGGTGGTTAGGCATACGTAACACATGTCCCGACCACTTCAGGTAATGAAGATTTACTACCTGATTAATCAACTTCCCATCTTTACCCAGTACTCTCTTCCTAATCAAGGCATTGGTTACTCCGTGGTCCTAAAATACATCAGCAATGTTTCAAAGACACCTATGGTCGAATACCAGTAATCTACGAGCATTATCTACTCTAAATAACTATATTTCACATGTATAAAGTGGAGCTGAGTGAACTGCTGTGCAGTGAACTCCTTTGGTTGGAGGATGGATATCTCTTCACTCCAGAAGTGACAAAGTTACCAAAAGCCAATCCAGCCTTCTTAATCTGTGCCGAGATTTTGTCAGACACCAGACTATCAGTAGTGATGAGACTCCCAAAATAAGTGAAGCAGTCAATGCGTGTAACTACTTCACTCCTTATCACTAATTCAGGTGGTGACGTAAGCCAATCCTGAAGTAACATCTTGCATTTGGATGGAGAGAGCCGGATTCGGAACATGCCTGCATCGTTGGTTAATGTGGTCAGAAAACATTTCATTTTCTCATCGTCTTCACTGAACAGAACTGTATCGTCTGTGTATTCTAAGCTAACAAGTGAATTCCTCGGTAGACCAATCCATGAAAGGTCAGACGATGAAAGCGTTGTCTCGAAAAGCATGTCTATGACAACGTTAAATAGAAATGAAGTGAACAACCCTATCAAACACCAGTTGAATGAAACAGTTTCGATGACAGTTCGGCATAAGCTCTGTTTCGATTAGTAGTTTTCGAGTAAAGAGCCTGCACAAGGCTAGTGTACTTTAGTACGCACTACAATATCAAACACTTTCACAAAACCTGATCAATAGAGTCGAACGCTGCCTCAAGGTCAAGAAATATAATTATAGTGGGACGTTGAAAAGTATGTCTATGTTTCAAAATCTGCCGAAAGGTGAATATTTGGCTAATGCATCCACGTTCAGGTAAGAAACCAGCTTGATTTTCTGAATTTGCTCTTCACAAGCTGTATTTATACGTTCAAGTATTATTGGGGCCACTACATTAGTTAAACTGATTTCTCTGTGATTATCATTAGAGGGTTTTTGTTCTTTCTTATAGACTGGGACGACCAGTGATGAAGACCAGTCAGATGGGATCAAGTCCACCTCTCAGATTTTAGCTAAGACTGTTAATCTAGATGCTAGAACCACTATCCTTAAAAATCTCAGTAGTCCATCAGTTCCTGCTGCTCTCCTTCGTTTTAGATTACTTGTGGCTTTTTCAACCTCACTAAGAGTTAGAGGACCTACATCAGTTTGCCATTCAGGTTGCTTAGAGATAGTGAGTGACTAAAGTGTTAAAGGTCACTTAAAATGTGCCCTCAAGTTTTCTGTCCATCGGTTCAATTCCCTGGATTAAGAGTGAATAATAGTCCTGTCGTTTTCCGTGGTATTTTCTCGAATAGCCGAATTTTTAATACCCGTTCCCTTCATAAGTTTGAGCAATTATTAATTAGCTGATGTTACCTATCGTCGTTGCTTTTCCCATCTCTTCTAGTTTATCTACCCACCAATGCTCACAATCATTACACAGGCTTTTGATCAGCCTATGTTTAAGCTGCCTCCGCTCCTCATTGTGTTTGGAGCCAGACGAGATGAGTTTCAGTGCATCTATCAGTTCTATAGATCTCCCTGAAATCTACTGATTTTTCTCAACCTTTTGATTTAAGTTACTAGCAAAGATGACTGGTATTTCCATAGCTTTTTGGATATCATATTAAGGTACTTCGTGGTAGATATCATTTTCGCGATTGACTACCTCCTTATGCAGTTGATCCTGAAATATTATCCCTATGTTTTCACCAATAAGTTGAACCTGAAGTGATTTTCTTGTTGTGAATTTCTTACGTTCTGTAAGATGCAGACAAATACATGCTTGAACTAGGGCATGATCCGAGTTCACTCACATGCTCCAAAATAAGCGAGTTTTTAGTCGAGCCCCTCCAACGATGGCTAATAGCAATATGACCTATTAAAGTCCATCGGTCAGTTGATTGTGGAGGTCGCGACGTCAGATGATGTTTTTCCTTATGTTTAAAGTTGGTGTTTGCCAGAAATGGATGGTTACCTGAGCATAGTTGCAACAGTCGCCATTATTTGTTCTCTGAGCCTCAACAATGTAAGACCCGCTTAAGTAAAAAATTAAAATAACCTGCTATGATTACTGCATCAGATAGTGTATCTTTTTGAAGGAGGTTGGATGGTTTCCTATATAATTTATTTTTAGCTTCATCCGAGCTACAATCAGTGGGAGCGTAGGCTGAGTCAACGAAAAGGCAACGGCATGTGTCCCTATCTTTTCGACTTCATACTGTCTCGTTTAGTCGTAAAGCACACGAGCGACTGTCCTTCGGAATCCAGTCTAACAGAGCCTGTTCTGCTTTTAGATTTAATATCATACGTACACCAGCGAAGCCACAGGAAATAGGAGTGGGGTTTACAGAATGTCGAAGGTTAAATCCTGACAGTTCCTTGTATATTTACAAGGTGAGGTCAAATGAATGACTGTACTTGGATCGCGTATGAGCGTTTCGGAGACGCAGCATACATTTATGGCACAAAATTCTAGAATTCTAGCTAAAGAATCCTGTTGTCTACTCTGACACAACGTTCGAACATTAAAAGCTCTAACTTGTAGTTTACAGCGTGGTTTAAGGAGACCAGGAATAACTTTTCATAAAGTGGAATCCTTAGGATTGGTTGCGTGGTGATATATATATATATATATATATATATATATATATATATATATATATATATATACGAGAAAGGTTAGTCGTATGGGAGAGACTAGTAGGGAATTTGATCGTGAATAGAATGACCCTGAGTACTGTTAGAGACATAAAGGCAGTCTCTACTTTCCGGTTACCCATGCCATGAAAAGAGACTGGGTTTAACGACCTGGAATGTGACCTCAGAACTTATGAGACAACTGCTTGAATCCGGTCACTCACGACCTTTTTATGGGAAGTTTTTGATGTATCAGCTCCTCACTTCATAGGGCTTTACCGCCGGAGACGGAAATCCGTGGGTGTAAAGTGAGGTGTGAGATTTGCAGGGTCAACCTCTTTTATCATCGTCCTTCCGTCGTCAGGCGGCATCGGTACAGATGCTGGTTGTCCAAGGGAAATGCTTTACTACTGTTGTTATAATTTCTTTTATTACGACCCAGCTACTCCTATTACTTAGTATTATTGGACACTAATTCACTCGACAAGTCCCCAAATCAAAACACGTTTGGACAGGGACGAAATTATATTCCAAATAACAAGGGTTGATGGGAGTAGGAATTACAATAAGGAAAACGTCAGTATATTTATAGCTTTTACACGAGAAGATTCTAGAGTCTTCTCCAAGCATCCGCTAGTGCTGATTGGTTAAGAGATTGCCGTATGACTTCGCCCTTGGCCATTAAGTTGCTGTTTTTGGTCTTACTGTTCTCCAACCGACCTGCCTGGGATTCCAGGACCTAAAGGAACATGTGTTCTTATCACTATAGCTCAATTGAGTCATTACTACAGACAAACCCAACCACCACATCAAGGTAGCAGCTACAGTTGTATAGTATGTGACCCATCCTACTCATTTCAAGTCCACAACTCTGTGAACTGTCTCTTCATGTGTGTCTAGAATTTTGCATTTAATACGAATATTACTCACTTATTATTTCAGTTGAATTCATAATCAAATAAACTTGGTCTAAATATCTTCCATTTTATCAAAACCCTTTGCAGCTGTAAAATATTGGAGTGGTTAATCATTTCTCGATAGCCAGTAGTATATCTTTGGAACCATGGGTATTAAATTTCTGTAAATATAAATAAGCTTTCCGTATATTTTCTATAATGTTTCCGGTGGCAAGCACCAAGAGAAATCTCTTTGTCAGTTTCTGTATGCACTAGTTTTTCTTGATCTTATGAAAGTTTTCAGAGTATTAATATCTGAGTTTACTATAACTAGTTCTATTCAACGTCTTCATTTTACTCCTATGTGTTGCACATACAATTCCGTTTCTCATAAAACTAATTTCTTCCATCAATTTCACGTGTTGCGAAAATGTTATGCTGTCAACCTATTAAGTTTACAAAACAACAGAAAAATGACGAATTTTTTACTGTACATGAAAATTATTATATCTGTTCAGGTGTCATTAGATTTTAATTGTTACATTCAATTTTTTGTTAGCCTGTAAAAGAGAACTTCTAATAGCTTAATAAACAAGGTCAAATGTGTATTATATTACTGACGTCACTGCAATAAGTTGCTGTCTATTCATTTCTGTCAAATCGGCAAACGATAACATTAGTTTAACTTGATATGTATTATGTGGTTCTAATCTGTGATTGAAAATTGAACTACTAGAGCTCAAATAAATTCCACTCATTTCTCTGTGTACTGATAGATATCACTGTTTGCAAATAAGTCCACCCATTAATTGTAGTTTTTAGCTTGTATAATCATATTCTTTAGTTGTGTTAATGTTCTAAAAAAATTGTCCACTACTTGCTTTTTTAGATGCTATTTCTATGCCATTCTATTGGCGAAATAACCAGTTAATCATATTTCTTCTGCATCATGCGGCCGCATGTTTAGCATTTTTCTATGTTGTGGTAAATCAACAATGTTATCACTTTTGTTATTAGTGCTATTAATTATAAATACAATTTATTTCGTCTCTTGGTTATTTGCTTTTCCTAGAAATTAAGTCATTTACCATTAGTTAATGGATATTTTAAAAAAATTTTATTGGGATTAGAATAACACAAAGTAATATATTATAGGGTTTTCATAATAGGTTTTGATTGTTTACTAGCTTCGCTTTCGAATGACGGGAATGACTTATTAGTTCTTATCATCCTGCGATATCATTGAAATATTTCACAGCAAAACGAATGTAAGAAATCGATGGATAGTCTTCTGAGTAGTTGAAGGAATTTGGTACTATCTTCTGACATATACCTCTTGGTACAGTTTGATAAGTCTATATATATATATATATATATATATATATATATATATATATATATATATATATATATATATATATCTTATTTTTTTAGAAATTTCTGTCAATTTCATTGACATCTAGTTGATTTTTTGTTATTCAACTAAATAAAATTTTATTTTCCTCTATTTTAGCGATATCGAACCTGCGTATTTTTTGGTGTTTATCGACTTACAACCGAGCTATCTACACCTTTCGTCAACCAAAGGTATCTACTTATATCATTTCATTCTGTTTTACTTAATTTTAAGTATAAGTTTTGTTTGTAAGATTCATAATCCGAAACAGGAATGACCACAGTTACGAAATGTCTGACTGTGAATTCCCGTTAAAATGTAAAACATTCAAATATAGGTTGGTCAAGATTCAGTGCTGGATATCAACAACAAGCAAATGCCAAACCTTTGCTAGCAATAATGTCTAATTTCATTACTGTTATCAACCATATGAAGGATAAAGTTATTGTATGTGAATGGAAGTAGTAGTAACTGCTTTTAATTGTTACTTCCTGAATATTGTATATTTTGTATTACTTTATGAATCAATTACTTATCCAGTGTAATATTGAACCAATATACCACTATACATTTTGTTATCATTATTAAATGTTGTAGCAAGTCTTCCTTTAGGAAAGAAAGTTCTAACTGAATTTAGTCTGTTATATGATTATATATAACTCATTCACCAACCACATATTTGTGTTCTGGGCTTCTTTGCGTCAGAATTTTTTTGTGAGATTTAGTAATACTACCTGAATATTCAAGCGAACTTACTTAATGTCCGATTCTCCATTCCCCTAAATTAAGGTTGAGCATGTTAAACACTATATCGCCACTTCATATTTATTTATTTATTATTTGAACACATAGATATTAGTACAAGGAGGCACCAAATACATATGCACCACACAGATCTCATTTGATATGTGTGAGGGCTGTGATACTGCCCGGGTGCCCAAACTGAAGCAGGTGGTTTTCTTAGGAGGCCACACCCGGAGCCTTCAACCTGAAGGTCTGATCCACAAGGCAGTGAAGCAACGTAATTAGATGCAGTCCCATGGTAGCCGGTGACCAACGATTGGTTCATACGCCATTTGTTCCTTCAGGATACTGGAGCCCATGTGCACCATTGGTTTGGAATCAGGGTTTTCCAACTCTCCTAGTTGGACACTCCGTGTCCACCACCCCGGTTAAAACGCCAGACTTTCGTTTTTCGTCCTCTTAGTTTCGTAAACAACAGTAATGCCACGAGAAGGCAGTGAGTAGGACTTTCCTGGCAGAGGCTATATACGCGTGGCCATGTGAGAGCATTTCAAGAGGGAGAGCGGACTCTCGGCCGTATCAGGGCATTTGGGGGCTTCGCACAATGCTGTCTGAAAAAAACCCCACATATGTTTGTAGTTAAAGATTTGAATCCAGTGAATGATTTCAAATTACTACTCAGTTTTATTAATGAAATATTATTAGTCCTTCTCAATAGTATTGATTCTAAGTTTTTTTTTATATGTTTTGCGTGTCACGGTTTTGATTGAAGTTCCCTTGGTAAAACCTGTTTTTCAATTTAAAACCCTTCTATTATCTCTGAAAGGTGGAAAAATGTTTACAGTGAACGAACTATTTTTTATTTACCAAAATGAATTGTAAGTGTAGTACTCTATGCGAGCTAAAAAATATTTCAGAATGATTTTCAACAAAAATCCACGATTTGTTTGAAATATACATAAAAAGCAAATACTGTCAGGAGAAGAAAAATTAAAATGATATACATATATATACACTTGATACCAAACTACGTAGAACGACAGAAGGCCCAGACCTTTTCGCACATCTAAACTCAGTTACCATTCAAAGTTGTTGATTATTAAACGCCTCACTTATCCAAGTTCTACCTATGTCTTTTGTGAACAATTCTGCTTGGTCATGGGTAATATTTTGAAGTACCACTAATATTATCTGATTGTATACGAGTTCTGTAGTCATATATTTTTGTCCCCCCTTCGCCGTCAGGTTTCATTACGTTAATGATCAGTTTGCCAACTGAAGTTTAAAGACTGATAACAACTTATCTACTTAGGTGCGGTATACACATATAAGCTGTTAATTAAATTTGAATGCTTTAACCAAAGGGTATAACTTCATATGTTGTTCCTCGTACCACATCAGTACATATTTATCAAATTAGCTGAGATTCTTTCTCTACAAATAATATAAAAAACATATTCTAGATTGTTAGTTATCGCATCAATTGTTTGAACATTTCTTTCAGTAATTCATAATAATAATGACCAACCTGTAAGATTTAATCATATTTTGAAATTATCTTTGTAGGTGGTTCTATCGTACTATTGGTTACAAACCTGATCGCCGAAGAGTCGCATGTGTAACTTTAATATTTGCGATTTTTTTTATCATAACACGTAATCTAATGATTCTACCATTTTGGTTTATAGCCTATATATCTTACGGATCTGATGTTCACAAAATTTGTGCTAGATCTTTTCCACTTATTGTTCCTATTTTCATATGTAGTTGCGGATTACTTGATTGTTTAAATATCCATTGGGCTTTTCGTACTTGTCGTCTTGGCTATAAAGCTGCTAAACTATTATGGACTGCAGATTGGCAAAGTGATATTTGTAAAGCTCGAGCACATTTACACAAACGTTTACGTAATCTCCAACAACGTGTTGCCTTTAAAGCTAGAAATGATACGAGTTTAAAACCAACATTGATAGAAAACCATCATAGTAATACTTCATTGAGTGAACAAATCAGCAGTGGACTATCTTCATCGAATTATTCTACTTCCGATAGTGAACTGGAGTCAGTTTATTCAGATTTAGATTTTAAAGTAACTCCTGAAAATGATTTGACTATATGTAATTCTATTTATCCAAATTCATCACAAAATCTTATTGATGATGATATTAAATTAGTTCATCGATCATGAAAAAATAATAGGTTCTAAATTCCTTAATTTGATTTTATGTATAAACTACTTGTTAGTTTTACTGTTTTGCAAACAAGATCCTGCCAGTTATTGCATCACATAAAAAAAAGAAAGTAAAATTCTTCACTAATTATTCTGTATAGTTCGTATAGATTATTTTTAGATCAACATGGAAAGTATCATTTTTTTGTTGTATAAAAAAAGAACTCATTTTATTCTTACTATTTACCTTCAAAGTTGTTATAATTTATATTATTTTTTTAAAGAAAAGATAAGTTAAATATAGTCGATCATTTATACTAGTTCTTGTTAAATAATTATCATAACTTAATTATATATAAATTGCTTTCTCAGCTTTTGTTTACTTTCCCTCATGAGTAAAGAAATCACAAATGTATTAAACGCTTTCCTTTCCCTTTTCAAGAAAAAAAACATCTCGTTAAAAAAAATTAGTCTACGTCAACCTCGAGTTTTATAAATAGTAAATCAAGAAGTTGAACGCACTAACCACTTTACTTTTGATGGTTTTCTTAGTTTTGAGTGGTCGGTAATTGAATAAACCTTGATATATACGAAGATTGATTCAGCTTTTGTCCATTCCTGTCACCTGTTGAGCAGATGATATGTTCGTTTGCTCATCAGGAAGGTAGTGTATAGCATAGAAGTCTTTTCTGTATCGATATAGTCGTGGGAAATTACCTATGAAACAAGAAGAAATGTGTTGTCTATCTGTGCTTGACCGTAAAACACTTTAGATAGCTTTTTGTATATGGTGGAGCTGCCGAGTAAGTAATGAGATTACTTAATAGAAATGATAAACTGATTGATAACCTTGTGAATCTTTACTGATTGGTTGGTTAAGGTTAAATGTCTAACTGCGTTATTTCAATGTGCTGTGGTACCAATATAAACGTTGATCACACGTAAATGCGACATTAATCTGTATGTTCATTGATCGTTAAATTAAGCTGCATCGATAAATACCTAGTTCCTTGTTCGAATTCATAAAACGATCTCCAACCATGGTTTGATGTAGTAAATGCATTGACTGAAAATCGTTTTTAGTTACATATATTTGCTTATTCTCTATGTTTTCTCCAATTTGATTATTAGTTTGTAATTCTTATTTTCCTGTTTGTTCGTTCATTTCGAAATATATTTCTGATGTAACAATTCAAGCATCGACTAACAGAATTCATAATTTCATTGAGTGTACTCTGTTATTTCTAACGGTTCACAAATCTTACACTCCTATCACAATCTTTATGAGTTATACAGTATTTCGCTACTGATCGACAATTGTCTGGTTGTAAGGAAAATATTTATTATATGGTGTGATTGTAGTTGATAAATTGGAATTTGAGGATTATAATTCCTATCCATTTAAATGGTTCACCTTGAACACGAGGATCCCTAGTTCTGTTTAGTGTGTGAGAGTGGTCGTCAATTCCTGGCTGCCCACACTGTAGAAAGATCTGAAAATGAGACTCGTTTATTAATGGATGTAGTGACTTGGGAACGTGACCGTAGGTGCCTTTACTCTTTGTCTTCCTTTAGATCCTAAGTTTCAAAACCACCATGAGTCATCTTAGTTATATCACTTCTCGAATGGTGTGTTGGATGCCTAACTTTTCCTATTACCATTAATACTGTTGCTACTCTGAGGTTCGCCCTCACAATGTCATCTCTTTGTGTTCATTGTCCATCGCAACTTGAACCTATGTCTACACGTACCAAGTTGTACATTACGTTTGACTGACCAAGATGGTTTACCTTCTTTTCAGGTAGTTGAATGACGTTGTTGCGATTGGACAAATTTTAGTCGAATTACCAGTTACTTAGTGTAACGGTATTAACAGATTTTTGGTTGATTTAAAAGGTATGGAATGTTAAATGTTGTCTTATATACACTTTCTTGTCGGCCGATAAAATTATTTAATTTTTGTAAACTATCGATTGATGGTATCTGGTCACTTGATTACAGTAAAGTCTATTCAGCCTGGATTGGATGTTAAACTATTCAGTTTTTGCATTTTTATGTATACGACCTTTGTAGGTCACTCCAACCACTTAAAATTATTTCCAAGTTAATTCAAATCGATCAATAATGATGATAAATTGTATCGAACTCATGTCTGATGGGAATAACTATAATATTGGTGAGTGTACTCTTTAATATCCGGAAATTCATGAAGTTTGCGCTAAGGCTGTTATCCTAGTTTATATGATACGTGCAACGTTTAGTAACTAGTCTCTAAAAATGTAATAGGTTATGTCAGCGAGATGTCCAAACTAATAAATATGTTCAGGATTTACTCTATAATGCTATTCAATTGATGATAAAAAGTAGAGTTATTATTTATTGTTCATCGATCGCTACTGAATAGTGACCAATATCATGCTTGCCTAGTGCTTTCACTCCTGCTTTTGTCGATAAACTCCAGTTTGGCTACTGGTCTTAGTGTCTCAACGTCGCGTGCATTATGTTGAGATATCAGGTGGTTGGAGATAGCCGTCAGGAAACCCTAAACTTGGGTTATATGCTATTCAGCACTTCACTAGGAAGCGAAAGTTCCCTCAGGATTACACGTACACCTTGCTGACGAGTGCCTACTGGTACAAGACCTAGGTCTAGGGTTTCATTTTGACTACATTTAAGCAGCTAACAGAATCGCTATTGTTAGTTATACATTAAGCTTGACTCTTCAAAGTCATGTATAGTGAACTAGCAGTTACTACGTACAGTAAGAAAAATAACTTATTTGATGTATAATCCAACAAAGGAGAATAAATTAACTGTAATGAAGGGACAGATATTTAAGAAGTGAAGAGGATTTTGTAGTGTACTGTATGTACTTTATGAGTAGGTTTATTCATATTAAGGTTTATAGATTTATGTCGCCATTCACTTCTCAAACATGCAAATGTGACAATTGGTTCTAGATTCAAGTGGGACATATAAATTTAAATGATAGAATGATACTGTTTCGAATTCTCCTAATCCTTTGTGATGTCCTTTTCAGCCATATAGGTTGGTAAAGCCGATTGGCTTATTCAGAGACATACAGTTGAAATGTCACAAATACCGGGCGCAGTAGCTGTTTCTGTCATACACTTTCTTGGTCGTGTTTTCTATCCAGTGATTCGGACCATTTATCGACCATATAGCAGTCGCTGATTATCTCTTGTCGTGGGTAACACCTGACATCCATTTCACGGTCAGTGATTCATCTCTGTATTATCTTTCTGTGCATTGTTTTTGTATGTGAAGTTGGTTTTAGTCAGAGAATTTTGTTCCCAGTTCAAATCCGCTGTGATTTGGTTAAATTTCTCAAAATACTGTGGGTGGCAAGTCTATACATATTTCGTCACCCATACTTTCGTTTTATAGACTCAGGTAGTTTTTGACTGGGTGCTTGTACTCACCAGGTAAGGATATTACCATCGTATTTGACCCGTGATCATTTCTAAGATGATGGATGAAATATTCGTTTACAGTTCTCGTTAGCACATTTATATGTTAGATCTCTTTCCAATTATGGATGATAATTTCAGTTTGTTTAGGCTTCATGTTAAGCTCTTGAGACTGAGTCGAAAGCTTTAGTCAAGTCAACGAATGCGCGTATTATTTATGTTTTATTGTCTGTTGTGTATTGTGTTATATGTCTAACTTCAGTTATCTCTTGCATCGTTGACTTATTATTACTGAGTCCGAACTGTGTGTGCGACAATAACTCGTTTGTTTTTTCGTTCAAACGTTTGTGAACCATTCCAGCAAAACTTTTCCAATCGTGTGTAGTACAAAATATTTCTATAGTTTATATATATGCTTAATACGTTAGCGTCAACCCAGTGTGATAATGTTATGCCTATTTTTTTTCTAATTTCACCGTTTCTGTCATTCCATCACCACCAGGAGTTTTATTGTTTTTCATTTTTAGCATATCTGGTTCAAAATCGCCCAAAGTATAGGGGAGTATCAGGTTTACCAGTTTGTCTTTTTTTGCTTATCGTGCAACCTATCGCATTAAACAGTTTTTGATCATGTTGTTTTAGCAGACTTTAACTTGTTCGTTGTTTCTTTCAATAATTATTATAACTTCTATTTTTCATTGTTTGGTGGTGGTTCTTCTATTGGAATAGTGTTTCGGACCACCACCCCCGTTGTTTTTTTTGTATATACTTTTACTTTACCTTTTTTAATCAGTTTATTAACTTTGTTTTTCTTTGTATTATATAATTTACGATTGTGGTCTATTGACCGATTTAGTCGTCACTTCTGCAGTAGTTTCTTATTTCCTCTCTTAATTGATAGCTCACTATCTTCTAGCATTCGTTATTTGTTAGCTTTTTACTAATTTGTTGCAAGTTTTCATTTGTGATGCTTACGATGACTTATTCTGTTTGGTTCAAATCGAAATCTTTTAATTCTTCCGCTAGGCATTTAGTGTACTCTTCTGGGTCAATTTCTCACTTTTTTTGTCCTGACTTCCTTTCTTTTTCGAGCTTTTTATTTTTTCAATTTGTCCATAATGCTCATTTTTCATTGGCTATGACTAGGTAGTGGCCAATATTCACTTCAGCAGACCTTCTTTTATCTATGTCATGAATCAAGAAGTCTTCTCTCGGATAATATCCTGTTTATCACAGAACTTCTGTTTGTACCTGAATCAATCATCCTTAAACACTCATAACGATTGTAGTATAGAAGGGAATAATATGTCCAAGGATAAATTATCGATATATTGGTTGTTACAGAACCAACGACGCAAGTTAAAACATTTATCTGTAGCTACTCGGATGTCAATGCTTTGTCGGTTGATTTTTATAAAACAGTCAACCTACACACCTATTGAAATTGTTAATGCTACTTAAAATAATATTGAAGAATGTTACCACTTCACTTCATTATTTTTCT